ATGGTCATAGATATATATATATATATATATATATATATATATAGCAGAGTTCCCGTTGTTGGTAAAAAGATGATCCTCATAAAACACGATTTAGAAATATATATATTGTAACTTATTTATTCAGAAAACTGAAAAGATGAGTAGAGGTCTTTGAAGAAAAGAATTTTTATGAGGAAGTTCATTTCACGTATCTCTTTTATGAGACAACCAAAAAGGCTACCAAATTATTTTCTATGAAAAATCGATATTTTCAGCACCTTCTTTTTACTGCCATTTCTTAGTCCTTTCTCTTGAATTCTGATAAAAAAGATGTCGCGTGATTAAACAGAAGATGAGAGCCAGTGAAACTGCAAGATCGTAATTGTAGTTGTATTATGTGCAGTAGCTTTATTATCTTTATTAAATTATCTAAGACATAAAGCGAAAAACAGAGAGAAATTTTATTTGCTTCATTTGTGATTACAAAGTTGAAATATGGTGATGTTCTTGAAGACATGGTCAATTTTTTATAGAGAAACACTGTGCATAGCTCTTTTATTGTAACATAGGATTAAAGTTCAAAGGTAACGTTTCCATTCAATTTTCTAAATAATTACTGAATTCCAGGGTTTTTTTTATTATAAACTATTTGATGATAAAGCGATAGGATAATCGAAGACTGATTTCAGAACTATTTTTCGAGTTTGAATTTGATTTTTTTTTTTATTTAACTTTTTAGCTCAGACATTTTAGAGTTAACAAAATGGTCGAGTTAACAAAATTAAAACACAGGCTACAATTGTATAAACAAAGATTTTTTCATATTTGTCATATCTTTTAGTCATATTTATTGACCAAATATGTAACTTTTTTGCGTAATAAGCGGTTACATTCGAATTCTTGACCTCCAAAATATAGGGATTGCTGAAATCTGAAAAATATGGTTCCAATAGTTTGGCCAGAGGAGTAGTCCAAAGTTTGGACCCCTTAATGTTAATTTTACTTTCTGCGTATTTCACCGTATCTCGAGAACAAGCGAACTGAAGCGAATTTTGCACACAATTATAAAATTTGAGTTTATCTAAAGATAATTATATTAAAAAAATAACTTTTAGTAGATATTTATTATTTTTTACTTAATAATAGTCGAAAAAGTTTTGAATTAAGAGGCATAAATTATATTACATCCTTTTTACGAATGCAATTTTAAATGGCAAAATACGAAATATGTGCAAAATCAGGCGAATAGTTTCTGAAAAATCGAATTTTGAATAAGTCGTATTTTTAAAATATAATTCCTCAGTAACTCTTCGATGGATCTTGCTCAAACTTTGTATTTTGCCACGTATTTGGACTTTGTTATTCTATATAATGATGCAAAAAGTTAAATACCTTACAAATCAAATTTTTTTCGACTATTATAAAATAAAATAATAAAAAATAGTAAAGTATAAAATAGTAGCAGTAAATTCTCGAGATACAGTGAAATACGTAAAAAGTAAAATTAACATTAAGGGGTCCAAACTTTAGACCGCTCTCCTGACCAAACTATTGGGACCATATTTCCCAAATTGTGGTTACTCCCTAAATTTTTGGGGGGTCAGAAATCCGAATTCGTCTGGGAAAAAGTACGTTTATTCTGAGAAAGTACGTTTTTGTGTCTGATTTCGTAACTTAAAATGTCGTCTATACTATTAATTATATTTGAGATCATCCCCTCGAACCATTAAGATTGAGTCCTAGAACGTGAAGCAGTGGCGTAGCGAGGGGTGGGCAAGGGGGGGCATCATGCCCCGGGCGCTACTCACAAAGGGGCGCCAAATGGTCCGTAAAACAAAAAATTGCTGGATAATTTTTTTTTATTATAATTGATTTCTGGAAAATATATTTTAAATTAGTGCCAGTGTAATATAATAAATGTTAATTCATAAATATTATTCATAATATTTAATATTTAATTCATATTAAATATTATATTAAATTCATATTCATATTAAATATATTTCAATATTTAATTCACGTCCTTGTCATCGCGCTCTGCTTAGAATAAAAATGAAATGTTATTAAATATTAAATGTTATATATAAGTTTAATGTCAGCATAAATTATATTGTATATTTCACTATGTTACTACCTTTCAAGTTCAAGGCATTCTTGGTAAGTAATAAATCAAATAAGATTACTTACTACATCTACTCGACGATTCTATTATTAAGTGAATAGAGTATGAAAAAATTTGTTAACAGAAAAATTTGTTGTTCTCATATTTGTCACCACAGATTCAAAATGAATTCATTCATCTTCTGGCATCTACAGTTCGAAATCAACTAATAAACGATATCAAAAGAAATAAATATTATGGACTTTTGTTTGATTCAACTCCTGATATCTCTCATCGAGAACAAATGTCCCAAGTCGCTAGGTATGTAGATGCTGATTTTATCAATAAAAAAGTTTCCATCAAAGAATCTTTTTTGAGTTTTATTGAAATACATGCTAAAGATGCAGCCTCGATCGAAAATACAATTTTAGAGAAATTAAATTACGATGAAATTTCATTAACAAACTGCAGATCACAATGTTACGATAATGCTGCCGTGATGGCAGGTCACACATCTGAAACGCGATGGAGCGCCAGAATACAAGCGGTTATCGTTATCATCTATGGGCTAGAGAATATAAAAGAACTAATAGAAAAATTAGCAGAGCACACTACCACTACAAGTGACAACAGAAGTGAAGCTACAATTCTGTTGCAAAATATACTAACCTTTAGTTTTATAACTTTAGTTCATTTCTGGTATGAAATCTTAAGAAGGATTGATCGTGTGCAGCTCAGATTACAAGATCCTAGAATGAATTTTAGAGAAGTGTTCCATGATCTTGAATCATTAGCGACTGAACTAGCCGAAATTTGAGACAAGCTCTGTAAAGAGGCAATAGAAAAAGCAGAGTCTCTTTGTGAAAAATGGGATATGGATACAACAATACGTGCCTGGAGAATTGGCTATGGTGGTCTTTCCGCAGAAAGTGAAATTTCTCGCGTTATGAAAAGCACTCTTGATCGTCTCCAACAAGAAATGTGTACACGATTAAGTGACCTTAATTTCAAATTTGGATTTCTACTAGACGTTGAAAATTTATTAAACAAGGATAATGTTGATAACGACCTTGAAAAAAAATTTTAAAAATCTGGGTGAATTTTATAATACAGATTTCAATGTAATAGAACTTTTTATCAAAATATGTGACAGCAAAATGTTACTCCGCAGTAGAAAAGAAATTAAACCTAAAACTCCATTAGAATTTCTTACTTTTATAATCAATCTCGAATGGAGAAGATGTTTTTCCAAATCTGAGAGCGGCATTTCAAATACTCCTGACTATCTCAGTATCAATTGCTAGCTGCGAACGTTCATTCAGCAAATTAAAATTAATTTTGACAGATCGCCTAAGTGACCTAGCATTTTTAAGTGTGGAAAGAGAAAAATTTTAAATGATCAATTTTGATGATATTATTGATACATTTGCTTCATCAAAAGCACGGAAAATTTAGACATAGTAATTAGTTTTATTAATGTATTATAATCATATGATTATTAAATATATGTATCTCCTTAGAGATAATAAATATTTACTTTTTTATTGTTTTAAAACTGCGTGTTTTTAAAATATTTCTTTATAAATATGTAAAATAAATAATAGGTATCTTTTGAACTAATTCTAGATGATCATATACATTTCAAAATCTAGTCTTGTTCTCTCAACTACATTTTTTGTCTCAAATTTAAAGCCTAGCTTGAGTCTATGACTTTATTTATTTTACTTTGTTTATTTATTTATTTGCGAGTATATTTTACATATAATGCTCGTATTATATGGTTTTCGAATGGGGGGGGCGCTAAAAGGGTATTGTGCCCCGGGCGCGAGTTTAGCTCGCTACGCCACTGACGTGAAGATCCGATCATTAGATCAATGTTCAAGTTTTCAGGGTGATCCGTTTTTTATTTTGCGTATTGTACAACAATGTCAATTTTGTCCTTCAAAAACTCCACGAAAAGCACAAAACAGTTGTCTTGTAGTGGATCTCATTCCACTGTGGTATCCTTGGAAATGAGATCGCAGATAAGTTAGCTAGAAAAAGTCCAACCAGTCTCTTCGGGGGAAGTTTGTCATGAATCTGTTGCTTCGAAGATCAATTTGGCCTTAAAGATATGCAAGTATTCAAGATAAAGGAAGAAAAAAACAACAGAAAAGCTCTAATGTAATCCTTCCTCATTAATCTGCCGGACTATCCCAGATATCGAGCAGTCACTGCTTTTCAAATGATGACCAAACATAATTGCCTCTATGCTCACCTTTATCGACTTAAGATCGTGAATAATCTGTATGCTTATCTCGGGTGTGCTGCAGCGACTTGGTCCTCTGACCACCTGAGGAAAAGAACTATTTATTCTCATTATTAAGAGGCTAAAGAACTTTTATCTAGTTTAGCCCTTAACTCATTTCCCTTTGATTTTTGTTTCTGCTTGTACTTAACTTGGTTATATTTCATTTATTTGTACTTTGAAGCAAAAAATATACATAAGAGGATAAGGCTACCTTCGATAGGCATAATTTAAACAGATTCCTTGGGGCTTGGTGTGGTCCCTGTGTATAAAGGGAAAAGCAATATTTAGAGGCACAGCAGCAAAAGTTTTTGAAACTAGTTTTCACGTTTCTCTCCATCCAGCCACTACTGGGGTTGTGGAGGATATGCTGAGTGTTCTCTTTTCATTTATTGTAGGTTTGTTCTGCATTTTTGCATTATTTATAAACAGTACACTATTAATTAAGATATTTCTTTGAGAATACATTTATATCATCCATGTAATTTAAATCTGCTAACATATTTTGAGATAGAAAAAAATAATAAAATGGCAGTTGACGGGAGTCAGCGTACATAACCATTCGTGTAGAGTTGTCCAACAACCGAGTCACAAGTGATGCATCTCCTGACTGTCACTTTGTTTCTTGCGCGCTTGCACTGGATCGTTGTACGTATGATGCTCTGTTACGTCTGAGCATGTTGCTTGCCCTATAAGTTGTTTTTGTGGTATGGCATAATGCACCGAGCTGTTCCCGTTACGTAGTATTCGAAATGCCAGACTACGCAAAGTTATACTTCAACTTCGCAGTGATGAATAATGAAACAAAAAAAAACATGCGTACAATTGCGGCATAATATACATAAAATTAAGAGTTTATAGACTTTTTATTATACAAACCCAGGCCCCACCTGCAAAATATTTTAAACCAAGGGATCCTTAGAATCTCCTCCCCTCTTAAAGTGGAAGAAGGAAAAATACTTCTAGGTGAAATGATATTTCAATGAATTTCAATAGACTTATAGATGTATTATCAATGATTATGACTCTTGTGCAGCTAAAAGCTGTTTTAAAGTTGAAAACAGTTTCTAAGCTGTTTTCATCTAAAACTTTAGAAATGTGTTTCGTAAATTGCTGCAACATCCCGAAATAATGAAAGAAGTTGAACAAAAATCAACTGATTTTTGCTGATTTTAAGTTGGTTATGTAATAAAAAGTAGTTACTTAAATGCTAATATCTCATAACACTCATAACAAATGCATGCATTTCAATATTTTTTGCTGTCCTGAGAGATCATTGGTTTTATTGTCTACATTTTTTTTTACAAAAATTTGTCTTCAAGTATCAGTTCTTAAAAGTTGAAATGCACCTCTCAGTGGAAAATTTATGACAAACATTTTTGTTTTAAAATATTGATTGAATATAAACAAAACACGTTCAGAATTTGCTTGGGTTACACAAGTTTAAATGATGTTTTAAACTGCTTCGACAGTCAAAGATTAAGAAAAATAAATATATTTCTGGAAACAACAAAATAGCTTCCTGTTACATACTTTGCTGATAATAATTAAATTAAGGTTAAAAAAAACTAATTTTTTACAATAAATTCTAAAATAAACTAGGTCGATTAAAAAGTAAGAACTTTAAAATTAAATATAAAATATTTAGCTCATTAAAGAATATTTCAAATATTGAAAATCAATTTACGAAACGAAATTAATAACACTTTGTTAACATTTCCAAAAATTTGTGGACATTTCATTGTTTCAAGGGGCCTTCCCAGTCCGGCTTTGTGTATAGCTTACATATTTTCCATTGCGAAGATCCATGGTTGAATACTGACTACGGTTGGTTTATAAATTGCATATTGCCCGAGACTTGAACCAAACACAAAACCTCCCTGGCGGTAGACAGCTATTTTCTTGGTAAAGACATATTTTTCTTACATCGTATGACGATTTGAAGTGTTATATTTTTCGCTATTTTACGCTTTATACCAGCATTATACCTTTAGAATCGAAAACAATGTTTAATACTCTCTATTAAAAATACATTGAAAAATCTGGAGTGTACTCAATAAAGCACATAACTACTTAATATTACTATATTAGTATAAAATAAACAATGAATAATGGCTTTTCCTTGAAAAAAATTCCATTTTTCTTCAGCTTTCATATTTCGGGTTTACTGATTTCGAATAATCCAATCCCTAGTTACAACAACAGCAGTAGAGTCATGTTCTGTAATTACTTCTAAGGACCATGGAATTATAATAAAATCTATTCGTAAGTAATTTTATTGAACAAAAACAAAATTATGAAAGCAATTATATATTTGCCAAAAAATAATAAATCAAAATTTCAGGGGTTCATTCAAGTTCAGGGAATGAAAATTAGTAGTAAAAGCGATTCATACATCAAATTACATGTACAAAATACTACAAAATAATGTAAGCAGTTCTTCTGTAAGAAACCATATACGCGTTTGAATACTGCTGTTTGATATGTTACTACTGTTGTGAGTTATGTTATATACTGTGTAAGGTTATGTTGAATCAGTTAATATAGTAAGATCTTCTGCGCTGAAAAAGCACATTTAATTTGAACATTTTTCTACAGTAAACAAATCCTCTAACTAGCCATTGTACAAAAACAATGCATTTTGGAAAAAAGTAAATTGAAATATAAGCAACGAAACATTAGAGAAATTTTTGGAATGAAAATTTACTTAAAGTTTTATTTAAAATCACAGTTACTAATTATTATAATTAATAATTTTATCATATGCTGACTCATTTAAAATATTACATCAACTACAACACAAAACAAAATCAATAATAAAAACAATAATATTGGACAAATATAATCTAGTTCACTTTTTTAATATTTATAATATCTATTGTTTAGGCGAGTTTGATTACAGGATGTTAGAACAGCACATTCATTTAAGTTTAGAGCGTTTCCTTAGCTAATCAGCAAAATCAGATTCGAAAAAAATAATACTTTTTTATTTACAAAACAATTTAAGAGGAGAAATTGTAGTAGGAGCAAATACATCTCAAAACGTTCAGAAAAAATAGAAGAAGATAAAAGAAATCAATCATGCAACTAATAGAATCCCAAAGTTAAGCTGTAAAATTTCTTTGAATTATAAGTTAGACAAAAAAAAATTTTTTTTGATCTATATTATCACCCACATACATTTATCTATTTATTTCCATTGCTTTAAATTCTTTTAAATTACCAAAATAAAGTATCGTGCATGTAATATGTGTTTCAGGAAGTCAAGCCACAAGCCCTGAGTTAAGCCAAAAGAACCGTAAAACCAATGGTGAAAAAAAAGATTCTCTTGCTCACAAGACTCACAAAACGGTAACTCAATTTATAAGTAATATTGCATATATATATACGAATCTGCAAATAAGAAATAGGGATTCATGTTTAAGATTTCAAAGTTGCTATCAGGGAATTGGGGTGAAGGATCGAGTTAGGTATCATTGGATAGCATTTTAAGAGGTAGACATAGGTAAGGCATTCTCTAAAGCAGGGAAAGAGGTTTACCCGGTTCCACAAGCTCTGCTTTGTGTATGTTTGAGAAAAGAAATACAACTTCACACGTTTCAGAACCGGTTATTATTTATATTCAGAGCAAAAAAAAGAGGATTTCATTAGGACGCTTTGCGCATTATGATCGTTTAATAGTTAACTTAGCTTCTTCACAAAATAAAAATTTGTGCATTAGTTATCCATTAGCAATCAGTATGAAGTTTAAATAAACACTCACTTTATGAAAAAAAATCATTGATACATTTTTTTCCTTGTTTTTCTGTTATTTTCTAGCAGCAAAATTTCGAATTCGTCGTCAAAACAGTAATTGAATTGAATGCGGTATTTAGTTGCACGAAGACCAAAAACACATCATCTGTAATGATGGCGAAACGTGTGTTGGGAATGTTACATTGCTCGTCGGAAGGGATGTCTAATAACCAAAGTGTCGTATGATCGGGTTTCGGATAATCAAGGATCTGTGGTATTACTTTTTGTATGAAGTACTAAATCGTGTTCATATTACAGATATATTTTTACAAAATTAAATGAAATTAATTTAATGTAAGCTTGCAGAGTAAGAAGAATTACATGAGCAGAGGACAACCAGCATTCGTTGGTAGATAACAATGTAAATAAAATACATCTATGGAGTAAAACAACTATTTTTTAAAGATTATTATTGTTTATGTGAAATACTGAAACTCGTCAAATATTTTTATATTTTTAAGAACTATTATGCTAATTGTTAAAGAATAGAATAAGTATCTAAACCTATTTATATCTGCAGGATTTGTCTGAGAAAGGTATCATTAGAGCTGGATCAGACGCCCCAGCAAATGGACCTGGTTCACCAACTGTTATTGTTGCTAACAGCAAGAATGCCAATAAACCCAATAACTCCAATTCCTCTGCTAGAGTTTGAATGAAATATTCTTATCTATTTTGGTTCACGTAATATTCACCTTAATTGTTTCATCTAACCAAAGAAAAAAGTGTAGACACTATGACTTGCTTACTCTGAGGCTGGATAGAAATGGACCGCCGAGGTTTGTCAATCAAACAAAGGCTCTTTTTTCTATCTCTTCAGTTCAGCCAAAAGTGTATATGTTATATTTTATCATTTACCCCTTTATGAGCAAGGAACAAATTTCAGTAGAATTATTTAGCAGCGTTTTTTTGAAGCAAATTTCTTAGAGCAAAATAGTTCAGTAAAGACTGATATATCACTGTTAATATAATATTATAGAAGATATTTGCCTATCTATATAATTCAATATTGACATTCATATAATTTAACTATTTGATTATAATTCCTTGAAAATTTTATTTTAAGTTAAAAGCAATTTCATATTATGTAATGTTATTTATTTAAACTCTATGACAAAGGAAAACCAAACTTGCCCTTGATGCGTGCGTATTATTCTTGCATGCAAGTCCAAAAAATAAGACCGTCAAGAGTAAAGATTTGATGGTAGTTAGATCAGATACCTTATTCGATGTTACCTTCTATTTTTGGAGCTTTACTATTCACTAAAATGAAATTTTTATTACAAACTTTATTAAAAACAAATTACTATCTCTTAAACCGCATCATGCTGAAAACCGGCTCTGAATTTTCGTGTTAAACGTCCGCATTTTTTAAAGTTGCAGTTCATTGAAACTCAGTATGTCTCAATTTTGTGACAAAAGAAACACGACCTTGTTTCCAGTCCTTATACACGTGAGCCCAAAGAGAAAAAGCTTCAGCCGTCGTGTCTGTTCGCAGCACATGCCATGCTTTTCATATCACTGGGACCATTGTTATCTTAGATTCAATCTTAAACGAAAAAAGTTTCATTCGAAATATTTTAGATTTGTCAATTACTATTAAAATAACACAGTGTAACAACAATTAAACCCTGTTAAAATACATATTTAATAACCAATTGGTCAACTAATGAAACAAATATAAACAACTTATGTAGGTTGCATGACAAGAAAAAATTTCTGAAACAGTAGTTATATTCCTTTTTTTAACTAAAAAAAAAAAAAGTTTTTTTTATACGAATGTTGTGTTTTCTCATTGAGCACATCACTTTAACTTAGGCTTGTTAAACTCATCCAGCGTTAATAAAACTATTGACATTTCACATTTCTTTTAAAATTAAGCAGAAAAGGACATTAATAAATGTCACAAAGAGCGCTGAAAAAATACGATATTATAAATGCATAAATCAAACTAATGAATTAAGGCAGCTTAGTCGCTATCTTCCTGTTTACATACTACTACAAAATATGTGAATATTCAAACTTCGATATTTTCACGGACAATTTGAAAAACCGTTTATCATCCGCTATTTTCATATTCTCGTGACACGGAATAACAATTATTCACCTTTATAGTGTTACCATTTGTTTATATAAACTGTCACATAATTGCTGTCAAAATTATTACTATGGATTCCTGTTCCAAGGAAAAAATTTAAAGACTAAACTGTATAAAGGTGCCATTTCTTGAAAATTGAATAAATATCTTTTAAGCACTTTAGTGATTCTAGAATGCCTTATAGCTTAATTCAATATCAGTACATACGTTTTGATGGTGCATAATGCCTTGAACTTTTAAATATTGAGTATTGTAAGTAGAATTGTTAGCTAGATTTATTACTTTTTCTAGCAGAGGAGGCACATAACAATTTTGTTTTATTTTCTTAAAGCAGTGTTTAGATCAAAATGTAACTGAGTCACAGAGTGGATAGCTCCAATTCTGTAACACAATTTTGAAACAAATATTTTCTCCTTACAAATATATACATATATGTCTTTAACTCAATAGATATCAATAAAAAGGTTGAGAGCACTTGAGATAAAAAAATTCACAGTCTTGTTGTTGAAAGAAGGATTTGTAAAAAAAATTGTACCCATTGTAGAGAAGTTCTTTCATGATCATTAGCTATCGGATGTGCTGATAACTACGAGTGCTTGAACCAGGAAAAGAGGGAGGTGGATGACAAATAAGATCATGTAAAATGTTTGTTAAACCATATCAAAATACTATGGAAGATAACAATATTTTTCTAGTCAAAATAAACAAATGATTAGTATTATATCAGTAGTTTGATTATTATTAATTTGTCATACATATTTAATGATATATTTAAATAAGTACATTCAGTAATAAAAAGTTTTATTCGATAGTTTCCAATTCAAACATTCAGTTTTGATGTACTTCAAATAAACAGGTGAAAACCATATTTAAACATAGAACATACATTTATTTTGCTAGCAAACTTAATAAAAACTGAATAAACAATTTAATTTTATCCATATTTCAATGTCATTTGGTTAAATTTATTTTTAATTTTAATAGAAATATAAAATTGATGCTAGGGGCTTAATAAAAATTGAGTAAGTGCTAGAACTTGGTGTTATAAATATTTTTGTAGTCTTAATAGTCATTATTAAAATCATACTTGTTTTGATAATAAATATAAAGATTTACGTAATATTATATTTTTCATGATTTTCTCTGGCCTTAAATCTTATGGTGCAAAGGAAGGTTTGTTTCTTCCAAGAGGAATAATAAAATATTCACTACCCACGCATCTTTCATAAATAATTGTTTTCTCTACTTGCAACAAATGTAATTTAAGTGTTGACATACATAAATATAATTAGTTAATTTCAATTTCCTGTTTATTTTTTAAACCTAATATTGAGCTATTTTCAAATCTTCAGACTGTATTATGAATAATGTAAGCCAGCATGATTTTAAATATTGAAAGAATGAATACTTGAATTAATCCAAAAATGTTAACATGTAGTAATGATAAAAAGCATTTTGCTGATTGAGCAATAAAATGATTCCTATAATGCTCACAAAAACCTAAAAACTGATGGCAAATTAAAAAATAATAATTTGGTCTCAAATAAAATTCTAATGCATATGATGGTAATATTTTTGATTAGACATTTCCTTTTTTTTTTTTTTCTTAATTCAAATTAAATTTTTAAATCCTTCTTAATGTCTGATATCTCAGGAAACACAAGTAAAATATGTATAATTGCTAGAAAATTTTCTGTACATAATGGCTTAGGGCTTTTTAACATTTGAAAAAATAAAAATAATTGACAAAGCATTATAGGGATCATTATTGATTTTGAAACAAAACACCAAGCACAAGGTGTTACATATTAAGCGATTGTCATTCTATAAACAGGGAAACTAACTGAACTACACATAGAAATAAAGAGAGGGGACTTTAAGTCCCCGCTTTAAAACATTTTTATAATACTTTGCTATGCTGTTGTTGCTTATTTCTTCCAGTCAAAATTGTATGAATAAAAGTTTCAGTAGTTTTCATTTCAGTCATATGTGAAAACTATTATATTATAGCTTTTATATCATTTTCTCAGTCTATTCGAAATTTAAGACCGTAAATTTTGAAACAGAGTGAATTTATCCATCTGACTGTATTACTGAATTTATAAGAAGTTTTAATGGATATCCTTAAAATCTTACAATGATAACTGAATATACAAAAGGGCATATTACAACTATAATGTAATGAAAAATTACATGTATTATAAAATATTCCAAAATTTGGTTCACAAGCTTCACGGTGCTCATGGAAATTTAAACAAAAACAAAAGAGCTGAATGAGTGAGCCTTTATTGATCACTTCTTTATATCTCTGATATGAATTTGAACCATGAGATTGGATTCATTAAAGATTAATGTTTATTAGATTCATTAAAGACTAATGTTTATTAGATTCATTAAAGACTAATGTTTATTATTATCAAATTTTTTGCAATTAAAATATAAAACATACCAAGGATAACTTGAAAAGTTTAGAAAGTAAATTCTGTCTGTAATAACTGACATACACAGGCCTATACTGTTTGGGTGCACTGTTCTCAGATGTTCAAAAATTGTCTTCACTATGTAAAAAACAATAGCTTTGAAAAAATGTATTTTATTATTTCTGAACTTGTAACATTAATGCTTCAATATTTTTATAGCATATTTAAACATTAAAACAATATTTTTATTCTAAAAAAAGCAAATTCACGTTTCAAACATTAAAAGCAAATAAGAACAGGTTCAAAACTCTTTACTATAGTAAAGAGTACTTACTATAGTCTTATAGCCCTGGCAAATTTAATTTACCTTTTTTTAGTAATTGGAAGTGATATGTAAACTATATTGAATAAAAGTTCAAAATGAATGAGTTGTAAAAAATTGCATGTTTAGCAGTAAGATTTTGATTAACTTAAATTGATATCATAGAAATTTGAATTAATGTATTAAATAGTGAAATATAGTACTTTATTTTAATCAATTTTTCTTATAATTTTGTTACACTTCTTGCCCTTCCTAAGCAAAGTAACACTAGCTAAGACAAGGAATTTGCATGAAAATATTGTTCTGCATGCAACCAAACACGTCAACAGATGTGAATTTATGAATACAATGTCAAAAATGCAGATTACAAATAGAGAGACCAGTTTACAGGATAAAAATCGCTTAATAACTAATAAAATAATTTAAAAGAACTTTCACTGTGTTTGTAAGCTGTAAATATATTTTGAATTAAATTATAAAAATATATTTAGGAAAGTTTCAGTACAAATATTTCCTACATTTTAAGTTATCTATCAATAGATAAAAATGTGTTTAAAAAACAAAAATGTGGTACAAAACGATGAGAAAAATAGAGCCTTTATTAAATATGAAATAATTGGTTCAAAACAATATATTTGATTTAGTATTATGAGTAATCTTATTATGAGTAATCTTATTTTTAAACTCTATAACCATAACATTTTGTAAATGGTTATAGAGATAAAAAATAAGACCACTTAAATCCTACTTTTTTGATTTTGAATAAATAAATAAAACTTATTAGAAAAATAATATGAAACACCCTATGTACTGAAATATATTTCCAAATATTTCCTGTTTTTTTTCACTATTGATCATTTTAAACTAATTTTTAATTTCAAGTTTTAAAATCTATAATATTTACATGCTTTAATAACTTTTTTTTTCAAAAAGCATCAAAGATTTCATTTTTGAATGAAAAAAAAATTTTCATCATGTACAGACTTGTAACAGTACAAATTAGGGGGAAATATGCCTTTCTCGAGCTTAAAAATAAGTAAATTTTAAGAATTTTTGTGAGAAAAATAATATATTGTTAGCTTTAAGAAAAAGTGTTAGTATTTGAAAACCTTTAAAAAGATGTTATGTTGAAAACAAATTTAAAGGCAATGTATCATAGCACTGAAAAATATAACCCGACTCAGGTATTGCGAATATCTCCTCCTGGAGTTGTACAAAAAGAAAAATGTTAAATGCTTCAAGATATGATGTTATCTAGTTTTCGAATTCATTTTAAAAGTACAAAAAGAAAGAGAAACAAAACTGATCATTATTTGAGATTATAATCATTACTTGTAACTTGTCAAAATTTGAAAAACAAATAAAAAGGAATTGCATTATTTAAGGCTAAGATTTTTGAACCAAGAAGAATGTGTTTTCAAATTTAGAAACGTTTTTAAACACATGTAAGTATATTTTTTGTACTTATATTTGAAGTACTTTAAACTTCTCAACTCTATTATACATCATGTATCTTTGGTGTTATAATTTCAAAATAAACATTAAATAAATAATAACAAGTGAATCCTCGAGAAAGGTATATATCCCTTTGAACAAGATGCTTATGCTATTTTATTTGCTATTATATTTTCCTTATATTATGGAATGTGTAAGGAAAAAATGAAAATTGATGGCTAAGAAACTGGGACCAAGCTAATGACCCTGCACTTCAATGCACGTGTACAATGAAAATTTTAGACATTTTATACAGCTTTTGCACATATTTCATGTACAGTTTTGAACCCTGAATAAAGGATTTTACTCTAGATTGTCTCTATCTCCTTTTAAGTATCACAGTCTGGCATCGGTAATAAGATATTTATAGATTTATATAGTTCACAAAAAGAAAAAAAAACATACATAAAACTTTACAGGCTTAGACCAAGACCATTAAGCAGGGTTATTTTTAAAGCCTGTTAAATGATAAGATTATCAAAAGGATCAATTTAAATATTTTATCGTTGAAACTTCAGTTGCAAGTAATAGAACAACAGGAAAGAAACAATTCACACATGCAGAAACAGTGCTGATCATCTTTAGAACTGAATAATTGTAAAACTCAAAATTGCAAATAGAACTGCTTGTACTACAAATTTTTAGTTTTATTCATTGTTTTATAAATAACAAAATATATTTTTATTTTATGTTAAATTAGTTTCAAATTAAAAACATAAGCTTCACTTTCCTTAAATATACACTGTTAAATGTATGTGGACTATTCAATGTTTAAAACATTCAGAAAAAAAGCATCAAGATTCCTCAAACGAATGTATAACTTATTTTTGCATTTACTTTTTTAAATATAAAACATATGTCTCATTTTATTTAAAACAATAAGAAGACATTTGATAGGAAAGCATTATGATGTAAGAAATTAATTAAACATAAAACAACAGACATAATTTCATCAACACATGCAAGAAATGATTAACTCTTAATTTGAAAATTTCTAAATTTCACATTTCAGCAAATAGGTTGAGTCAAGACAAGAAAATCGAGATAAAACTAGACTTCAAAAATTAATAATTAGTAGAATTAATTGCTTTGAATTACTTAGTAATTCATTATAATAAGTGTTATATTTGATAATTTAAATTATTTGTACTTTAGAAAAATTGGATTTTCTTTTCTTTTCTGCGACAAAAGAAATCGAAACCTCATATTAACAAAAAGTCCAAACTACAAATATATTTGATTTTTAAAGTAACATCATTTTGCAATGGGAGATCTGTATAGTTAAAAAATTTCTTACCTCATCATTTCATTGCTAACAAATATCAGTGTGACTGTAACATAATAACAGAAAAATGAATACCACACTTATAAGAATCAAACTTTCTGGAACCGAGCATTTTCCTATAGATGTAACAAAGAGCCCCACTTAATCAAATATTTTCCTCATGCAATAAGTACTGATAAGGTTTTACAAATATTTTTGTAAAAAAAATACCAATAAATTAAATAAGAGTAGTTTTTAGATTAATCTTAAATATGGTACAGACAATCTGAAATAGCTCACCCAAATAAAATAAAAAATTCTGTCATTTCCAGCAGCGCTAATTTCCTTTGAGACTTACTCATTTCCTTTTTAGATATTTACCTGCAGAACACCTTCTGCTGAATTGTAATAGAGGTTAAATCTTATTGAGTGGAAGACACCATTCTATGAAAAAAAGTCTTTGAATTTTATCATCGCTCTCTGTGAGTGTCAAAAGAGTAAGGTCAGCAGGGGGGTTTGGGTTTACGATATAATGACCTACATCACACCTCACTTTTTCAGGGTGTTATTCCCAGTAAAAACTAACCTCACCCATTTCATCTTCTGTCATAAAAAAGATTCAGGAAAGCAAGATTTATCAAACAAAGAAAGGAAGATGACTGGGACACAGAGACTGTAATTTATGACTATGAAGTTTTTTAACCCAAAGAATGCAAAAAAACTTCAAATGACGCAAGATGAAGTTATAGAATTCATCGAATATGAAGAAGAAACAGAAACTGTTTCTAATGAACATGTTCCATCTTCTCAGAATTCATGTTCATATGGAAGACAACAATGATGATGATGTTGTGGATCCTCTCTAAGCTTTAAATGAGGTACAACAGTCTGACAGAGGTACAACATTAGCTGTTAAAAAAGGCATTTTGAGAATACAATTTGGTGTGCTATACAATTTGAAAAGGTGAACAAATAATCAAACATTATAGACTTCTACATTAAAATGTGAAATTATGCAAAAAGTGACATGAAAAGAAATTATTTTGCAATTCAAATAGTATGCTGTTTTTTTTATTATTTTCAATATAAGTACCAGTGCTTACAATATAGTATATTTATTCATTATTTCCTTTTATGTCTTAATTTACTTTAAAAAAATACTTTATACAAATATACATTAAGTTATTTTAAACTACTACTGATTATTTATTTAGTTTTGAGACATGTTATCAATGGGGGCAAAATTTTCCCGCAGATTTAAATACCTCCAACTTATCGAATATTTTTAAATGGATGACATTCCAACACTATATAAAAATCAGTATGTATGATAAAAGATTTTTATTTATTATCAAATATATTTTCATAACGATTTGTCAAACAAAATAATAAAACATACATGATTTTATTGATCATAAAAAAACTTGTGATCAAAGTCTTATGAGATCCCATTTAAAATTACTTTTGTCAAACTATTACACATTTTTTTCAACATTAACATGTTAGGCTTTTAGTCAATAGTTTTGCTCTTTTGAGAAAAAAAAGAGCTGAAAAACATACAATTATTTTAGTAATACAATTATTTTATTTTGTGAGTTTGTTAAAGGGTCTGACTAGACTAAAAATTCTCAAGAGGATTCGTTTTAAAAAATTATTTCTGTAAAATATGAAGAACAAAATTAGACATATTTTAATTCAGAATTTTATTTACAGATGTTTTAACAGGCCTGATAGCAGGCCTTGAAGCCAAGCCCTGTAATGTGCACAAAGTGTTTTCATACAAAAAAAAAGATTACACCTTACAATTTATACTTGAACTTTTTTTCTGAACCACCTACTATTTTTTGAGATAAGAATGACATATAACTACAAATTTTACTACAACTATAAATTTATAATTTAGGAATACTGATAGGAGTTTTATCACAATTGAATGAAAACCAATTTATTGTCTACATACTATTTGTATATCTATAGCAGTACCATTGCGGAAATTTATAGAAGAAGTTATGATTTAGTGTAAACCTCTGCCTCAATGTAATACTTCAAAAAAGTACGAGATTGCACACTATAACTTGGAGCATTAAATGATGATATAAAAGCCTACTTTTATCTAAATAGTTAAAAAAAATTAGGTTTAAGAAACTTTTTAAATGGATTAGTGTGAATCAGAAATTTACAGTTAAAAAAATATATAGCATTTACAAGGGCGATATTTTTGTAATTACAGTAAAATATATAGATCAAAACAATATATTAAGACACCTTAGTCTTTGCTGTGCATAACAAAAACCAACCAAACCAAAATGTAATTTTAGCCTTTTTACAGAAACAACAAATTAGCCAACAGTCATGGAAATTAAATCCATATAAATATTTTAAAAAGCAACATGAAAATCATAACAAAATGTTTAAAAGAAAGGGTTTCATTTTGCAAATAAAAATAATTGACTATGTGCACACAATTTAAAGAATGATCTTATATACAGTTCTGTCTTACTGAAAAACTGTATATAAGTTCACTCTGAAAGACTGTCTCACACGTTGTAAATATATTACAGCAGTAATATCATTATATCACAGTGTTTTCACCTCAGCGCGAGAAAGCGAGAATCTCGCATATTTTTTTCTTTTGTCGCATTAAGAAGTTATTACGACGAGAAATTCGCGCATTCCATAAATCAATTTCAAATTTCGCGAATTTCTCACATTTTGGAAAAAGCTTCGAATTACGCCATTTAGAATAAAATCAGTTTCACTTCCCTTCCTGGATCTTTCACTATCTTCAACATCTGCCCCGTTATCTAGCTTCCCTATTTACCAGTATTGTTCAGAACCTTTTCGAACAACAGAACACAACCACGGAACCCCTTTCAGAACACATTTCTCTGCAACCACGTGCTTACGGTAGGTAAGGTTTCTTCATGTAAGACGTTCAAATTTTTTATGTATTAATGTTAGAGGGACAAATACCTTGTAAAGGCAAAATCTTCTATGATGATGCACCAAAAATATTCAATGCTTTAAAAAATAGAAGACGTTTAAAATGTATTATAATTAAAGAAATGATTTTTTTTCACGAGTTTTTGTGTTTTTTTAGTTTTTAGAAATCTCACTTAACATCTTGAAATCTCACCCTGTTTTTGAGAAAGGGTGAGAAATTCTCACTCATTTCTTTTCTATGATGAAAACACTGTATCATGTCAATAAAACTTCATTTCCTTTAATAAAAAAATTTATGCATGAAAACTATAAATAGAATGTATTATAAAAAATATTATACTTTTCATTCGTTGTTTCTAATTTATTACATATCTAAATTCTGACACAGTTATTTGAGAATAGATTCTAGACACCTTTAAAAATCTGTCATCTAATAATTAAATATAAGGAAAACTGAACAAAAAAATAGTGAAATCTAATAAAATAAATGATGTCACTAAAAAAATACAGTTTTTTCAGATAAAAGCAAACAATTCTTTAATTAACATGTTATTTTGCTTATTCTGTTATTATTTAAGAAACATTTCATAAATTCATTTATCAACAGTATTATTCTTTTTCTTCAAAAAATAGGTTTTTCCCATTTCATATGAGGTTATCATTATTGCACATGCTGGAGCTACTTTCATCAGTCTTGGAACTAAACCTATTTTATAAGAAAAATAGAAAATAATTAGAACTATATCAAAAGTTGCAAATCATTACTACTCAGGTAATAAAGTACAATAATGCCATCAAGCAATAATGTTTAATAAATTTGTTTACTATAAAAACCTAATAATAGCTTTGCAATGCTTTAAAAAGTTTTACTACTCAGGTAATAAAGTACAATAATGCCATCAAGCAATACTGTTTAATAAATTTGTTTACTATAAAAACCTAATAATAGCTTTGCAATGCTTTAAAAAGTTTTGAATCACGGAGAAAACTTCATTAGGAAAAAAACACAGCTATTAAAAATAGATAAGAGAATGGAAACCTGGTATACATCAAGTTTTGTGAATATAGAAGTGTTAAAACTTAAATATCAAAACCTTTTTTTAATTACCATAAAGAAAAGTATTATACAACTCAGTACTAAAGAAATTTAAAATAAAATGCATGACAATGTAATAAACATTTCTTTTAAATTTCTAATTATATTAAATGACTCTTTACCACTTATATTAAATGAGTTCAATGAATGCCATTCATTTTCATATTATATATTACAACACTGAAAGCAAAGGAAACATGGATGAAAGAATCCAATTTATGAATCAAATTTATGAAAACGATTACATTGAAAATAAAAAGAGTCAATGCAACATAAACATAAAACAAAATATGTATATTATTGAAGATTCAGAATACATATTTCAAGTTTTGAACTGTTTTACCTTTGTAACACAAAAATGAAAAATTTAAATTTGTTTATTGTATTTATCATTAAAAGGTTTTGACTTTTTTTGAAAACAATTTTTCATTTTTAAAATTTACCAATATTGCAGAATTTCTTTCATAAATGAGAGTAATAAAAATTAAAAATTAACTTCAATCCCTTTGTTTTTACTCACCAGCAAATAAAGAATTTATTCCTCCTTTCAAATAGAGATTCTTTAATACTGCTAACATACTTCCTTTATTTGCTTTGAAAAAAAATAGGTTAGTTAAAATAAATTACAATGTGTCATTAAGTTCATATTGAAATAAAAACGAATTCTTAAACACTAAAAAATACAATGTACTGAGTTGACTTTGTCCTGGAATTTTACACAAAAAAATTCCCTCGGTAACCTAACTTCTGTAAATTCTAGTTGGTGGAGGTATTAGTTCAAATATCCAAAGTGAAGAAGCATAACTGTTTATACACAGTTTGGCCTAATGCAGTTTTTTTATTGCTTACATTTTGAGATGATTTAAATGGTCCAAAAACATTCTAGTGTAACAAGTATCCTGATTCTTGGATTTCAAGGTATGCCAGTTATTTTTATTCTAATGAAGTTTAAATAAACTTGAAAAAATCATAACAAGTTTTGAATTCTCAAATGCCTTAAGCAATGATACAATACAAAAAACTACTTCAACAATGGATAATTAATTACAGCATCTCTTTTGTAGTTCTAACTTACTCAAAAATGTTTCCTGAATTTTAAATTTTTTTTCTCATGAATGTTTATTTATTTAATTATTAAACATTTAAATTATACCAAAATGCTTCTTTAATTGATTCAATTGAAAACAATCCCTGATTGGTTCTGACCTAACAAGTACTAATTGGAAACTCATAGTGCATTGGAAATCTTTTATTATTTTATGATCACTTTTATCCAGTGATTGTCTCTTGCATTCAATTAATAACAATTTTTTTGACATAAAGTTTTGGCTTGTAAAATAGTATATAAAATTCAAGTATTTTTAAATGTCCAGATAGAAAATTTACTTAAAAAATTACAAAAGAAATGATGATACAGCTCTTCATGTAGAATCAACATACCTTTTTTATTGAAATCAGATATATGAATGATCCAAGATATAATTATTTTATTCAACTTATTTTTAAATTAAAATGACTTTAACTACAGCCTAACTTATTTAACGAAATCAAAACTCAGTGATGGAATTACATGGAATTATCAGTGCTTCAGATAACTAATTCATTAAAAAATATTTGCCAATTACATTCTTTTTTCTTCTAACTGTGAAGAATTTAAACTACTAATGCTAGTTAAAAACAAACTACTAAAAAAAATTTTATTGATCATTTAATCATTTGATCATTTAAATTTTCAAACACACATCAATGCTCATATCTATAATCCATTCAGTTATTCTTGGAGTAAATTAGAACTTGCTATGGTTGGTAAAAAAATTATTTTTATACGCTATTTGAAAATTTTATTTCCTGTTTCTGCAATATCCTTCTGAGACATGAGCTTTAAATAATAGCTGGAAATGAGAATTTTATTTAGAAACATATAGCTTCTATATTAAAAAAAATTTATTAAACTAAACTTTTTATGGTTATGTTTGATTTTTATATAAGAAATGAAAAATCTTAATTTTCAGCATTTTTCACAAATTCTATGATATTTTCATTGTGTATTTGTTCACATTTTGGTTATTAAATAAAATTTACTTGACTTAAATAATAAAATATTTATATGTGATAAAATTGACCGAAAGGTTATCTGAACTAAATTTCTTACGGTTCATGTAATGATACGATGAAATTAAGAAATTCAACCAAGAAAGGTAGATACAATTAATAGTTTATGAAGAAAATCGCTTTAAGGCATTATAATGAAAACAATTTAAAAAATAATTTTTTAACGGATAAAGTTGTACAAAATGTTGCCTAACATATCGAGCACTGGGTCTCAAGACGAATATCAAGTCTAAGATGTTCAAAATATGGTAATGTTAAGGTTATTGATTTATTACCCCATTTCCTCAAATTACAAATTCTTTTAGTGCTTGGAAAGAAGAATTCTAAAATAAAAATAATTAATACATAATACATTTATAAAGAAAAATTAAATAAAAGCGAAAAAATTACAAGTATCCTTATTGTCTGAACAAACAACTATTCAAAAAACAAATTTATGTTCTGTATTTCTCTAACATGGGATCACATTTTATGTCATATTTAGAAATTAATAAATGCATGATTTTAATACTCTTATGACACAGATGAACGAAATTAAAAAAAAAAGTATTCTAAATTTTTCTAAAATATTTTTTATTTATTCCACCTCTTTCTTTTAACTCAATTTTTGCTACTATTTTTCATGCAGTTGATTGAAACTTTAAGCATACATTACAACTTTGTTATTTTGTGTTCAGTTATGTTGAAAAATGAAAGACTGATTTTTTTTAATAAATGAATATAAGATCTCAACTCCTCCTTAAAGTTCCACTGTTTTTTCCCCTCTCTGTAACCTAACTCTTATTCTTAGAAATGCTGAAGATAATTCAATGAATCAAAATCAAGCTAGAATAAATAAAATATATTAACCTGAGTTTTACATACCTAAAATCTAAAAACAATGAGAAATGTGTTGAAAATTAATGCAGGAAGATATTCATATACAAAGATTTTATTTATATATATATAT